TCTCTCTCTCTCTCTCTCTCTCTCTCTCTCTCTCTCTCTCTCTCTCTCTCTCTCTCTCTCTCTCTCTCTCTCTGTGTGTGTGTGTGTGTGTGAAGCACGCGTGCTCTAGCACACGCACATCTCCCTCTCTCCCCCGCTCCCTGTCTCTCTCGTGTCGCTCCTCCCTCCCGAACGCCGGCGCAACTCTCTCTCGAGCACGCCTGTGCCATCAGACGCGAGCCTCTCTCTCTCTCTCTCTCTCGCGCGCGCGCGCAGACGATGTGGCATCTATCGAAGAAACGACAGAACATCAAAGTTGGAAAGCAGACAATGAACAGAACAGGAAGGAGAACTGACCACATGCTCACACTTACACATGGAGGATTAACTCACCTACTTCATTGACGGTGGCCCGGTCGTCTTTAATACTACACGCAATGAACAGCCCACTCCTCAGCGTTTTCAACCTTCATGATGCAGAGCCCAACCTCCAGCAAGACCTTCGCCACCACAATTCCGCACGGACCGCGCTCGAAAACGTACGCGTGTGCGTATGTAATGATGAGTCTCTGTACGTGTGTACGGGCGTGTGTCTGTGAGTGTGATAAGTGTGTTTGTAAGATAGCGAGTCGAGAGCCCAAGTAGCCAGTAGAGAGTCGTATCTCTCTCTCTCTCTCCTCTCCCCCCCCCCTCCCGCGGCACAGACACACATATACGTCCGCGTCCAGCGAAGGCTACCGGCAGTAGACGGTCCCGAGTAGCCAGTCAAGAGGCCTGCGTAGCCCACAATCCAAGAATAGCGAGCGGGAAGTCTACACTGTAGCGTCTCATACACACACACACACGTCCGAGACTACCGTAGTTTAGAAGCCGGAGTCTCTTTCTGGCGCCGCCTCCCAAACCTGAGGAAGTTACGGGGGCCGAGCAGAGGGGATGTGCGCGCGGTACCGGCCCAAAAATTGGGTGCCCGGTGCCGGCCAAATCCGCCGCAGGACCAGGGCCTCTGCCGCCCGCGGTGCCAGGCCAGTGCCGCGTGCAGTACCCAGTGCTATCTTGCTACGAGTCCCGCGCGCGGTACCGGGCCAGTAAATGCCACGCGCGGCCTCCCCCTGCCGTTTAGTCCCGAATTGACTTACCGCGAGGGCACGGGTGCGCAGCCCGTAGTTTGTTTCGTTTTGGCTGTGGCGAGGACCTGTGTGTGTGTATGCGTGTGTGTGTGTGTGTGTGTGTGTGTGTGTGTGTGTGTGTGAGAGAGAGAGAGAGAGAGAACATCTATGTTTCTGAATCTGGCTCAGAACTGCTTCCAGATTCAGACAAAATCATCCAGAACAGTGACTACAGTCATCACCCGAATACAATGTACCGTCATTATAGCTGTATTTGGGGCAACTTTGAGTCTAGATACAGTGATAACGACCGTACGTTGTATTCGGGTGAAGACTGTTGAGGCTGTAGGCCTGGGTCCACGCCGTTTCATATTTGAATTTCAAGGACCTGCGCCACGCCGTTTCAAAATATTTTAGACCACGGCCACCTACCGGTTCCCAAGAAATGCCACCGGCAAATACCGGTCCTGCATTTGCTTGAAATGCGCCCACCCCCTAAATGCCAGTGCCTTTCATTTTACCACCCTTTGAACGACCAATGGGCCCGAATGAACGACCGGTATAACGAACGACGACGAAAATGTATCAGGTGGGGAAAAACGCAACCCTGACGGGCTGCGAACAACGCAGCGCGTAGTTTGTTTCGTTTTGGCTGTGGCGAGGCCCTGTCTGTGTGTATGTGTGTGTGTGTGTGTGTGAGTGTGTGTGTGTGAGAGAGAGATAGAGAGAGAGAGAGAACATCTCTGTTTCTGAATCTGGCTCAGAACTGCTTCCAGATTCAGACAAAATCATCCAGGCCCATTGAGCCGAAGTTGGTGGGTTGGGCATGAGGCTGTAGGCCTGGGTCCACGCCGTTTCATATTTGAATTTCAAGGACCTGCGGCCCCCACGCCGTTTCAAAATATTTTGGACCACAGCCACCTACCGGTTCCCATAAAAATGCCACAGGCAAATATCGGTCCTGCATTTGCTTGAACTGCCGCCCCCCCCTAAATGCCCGTGCCTTTCATTTTACCAGCGTTTCAACGACCAATGGGCCCGAATGAACGACCGGTATAACGAACGACGACGAAAAATATCTCAGGGGCATAAAACGCAACCCTGACGGGCTGCGAACAATCTACTCTCAGGGCATACTCACACGGCGACCCCAAATCCACAAAATATGCGGATTTGGGAAGGGCAGATTTGAGGTTTTAGGCATGGTTCACATCACACTGTTGTACGTTTTCAGATGAGACAAGGTCGCGGTCGTCTGGAGAAATGGGGATTTGGTACTTGGCAGGTCACACGGCACCATCCACCAATTGCGCAAGAACTTTTGTGAACGATTTTTTGCCAAATTTTGAAGAAAATGCAAAAAAAAAAAAGGAATTTGTGGTCAACTCCAGAGGTGACCGCAAAATCCCTTGCCCCACGGCTTCCCAGGCCGCTGACAAATGGGCACTGGAATAGTACATTTGCGAAATTGGTAGATCCGTGTGACTGACGTTTTACCCTTTTGGGGGGGATTTTGGAATTATAGGTCCCCGTGTGAGTATGCCCTAATTCTGGACCGTGCTTATCCCGATATAACAACGTCGACGGTCCACTGGCCAGATTCAGAGTTAGTTGCTCAAAGAAAGGGTCGGTAGCCAATCGGGACCGTTGCTCCACAAAAAAAATGAGAGCCGCAACCGTTTGCTGGTCACAAGTGGAGAAATTCGCAGCCCTAAGGTTGCGGTCTAGTGGGGTTCGACGTCTGTGTCAAGGTGTCGCATTTTCGGCGGCGACCAGTACGCAAACTGGGTTCTTAGGGGGCAAAAAAAATTGGGGGACCAGTCCTTGGCAAAATTGCGGACTACCTACAGCTAGCTCTGGTAGAACCGGGACTTTTGGAAGAAGGAAGGACCGGTCCTCGGGTGGAAGCGGACACCAAAAAGAAGTGTGGGGCGTTGGACTGGTCCTCAGGTGAATGCGGACCCGAAAAAAAAGTGAGGGCATGTGAACTGCAAAAGGGCCCTCAGGCCCAGGCGTTGAGGCCCGTCTTCTCAAAACAGGAAGGTCAGGCGCAACGAAACAGACATTTTGCAAGAGGCCACTTTGGCGATTTTCTGTAATTGAAGGAAGCCGCAGAAAAATCTGAATTTTTTAGAATCCACAGAAGAGGTCATGTTCTTTTCAGAAAAAATATTACAACATTTTTTAAAAATCTTTAGACCGCGAAATAATCATCGCGCCGATTCGGCACATTTTTTATTTTTGCCACTCAGCCATATGTGGGCCAATTGAAAAAGTACTCCAAATTCAATGAGGGTTTTTTTTTTTTTTTTTTTTTTTTCAAAATAAGATCATTATATGTAAATTGTGTTTGAGGCCGGGGACCTCACAATTTGACCCGGAGGTATCTGGCAACATCCATATTATGAAGTGGAAAAGCAGAAATTTGAGTAAACCTCATAATTTAACAAAAAAATGGCGACTCTTGCTGACTCTGACAACAATCCAAATAGTGTTATTTTAGTCTATACTACGTCTGGGACTAACTTGGCCCAGAGGACAGTTGTCCGGGTCCTACAGACACTCTCATAACTGAAGTAAAAAAGCAGAAACTTGAGTTAACCTCACAATTCAGTGAGTTTTCGCTCTTAGAAGAATGTGTTTAAAAAATCTGAAAATTTGAGTACACGTAAATTTTGTTGTGATCTTTCTAAGAAAAACACTAAATAAATTAAAAAAATTCATTCCAGCCGTCAAATAGATCGCGAGCTCAATTTGACTCATATTTCAATTTTTTCATTCAATCTCTCTCTCTCTCTCTTTCTCTCTCTCTCTCTCTCTCTCTCTCTCTCTCTCTCTCTCTCTCTCTCTCTCTCTCTCTCTCTTGTGGGTGCTCTTGGTCTCATTGCTTAAGCTACCTTAGAATTGCGTTTGCCGAGCTCACGCGGTAGATTATTAAGGGTTATTCACAGTCATAAGGTTACGGTAAAGTGGGTTTCAACGTCTGTGTTCGCATCCCTTTGGGGTTGCGTTTTATGACCCTGAGTCCTTCAATACCAATTGACTCACCATGGGCAGCGCTGAGTCCTTCAATGCCAATTAACTCACCATGAGCGGCCCTGAGTCCTTCAATGCTAATTGACTCACCATAAGTGCACGGGGGCACAATCCATAGTGTGTTTGCTGATGTAGTTGAGGAAGATGGGTAAGGTAGTGATTATAATGTGCGTATGTTTTGTCATGTTCGCTATACACAAGTCGAAGAGTTTGTATGTTTGGGGTCCCATTTGGTGCTTTATTCGGTGTTCATAGGACGTTGGACCTAGTTTCCAGCATCTGACATAGCCCGTAGTTTGTTTGAGTGATGAGACAGAGAGAGAGAGAAAGAGAAAGAGAGAGGGAGATAGTTGCATGATATAGCATGTTAGTGTCGTGGAGCACAAGCGTAGGCGGTAATCTGAAAGAAACGAGGGAAGGAAAGAGAGAGAGAGAAAAAAAAAAAAAAGAAAAAAAAGTTGCAGCATATAGCATGTTTGTGGCGGGGAGTACATGGTTAGGTTAATATGTGAGAAAATAAAGAAAGTAATATTTTGTTTGAATATTGACTTGAAGGTTGTTGGTGATTGTTGTATCATGTGGCTTAGGCCTAGAGATACATGCCATGTCGTAGCGGTAGTGGTTTTATGGTATTGTTTGCATGTGATAGAGAGTAAGTGTGTGTGTGTGTGTGTGTGTGTGTGAGAGACTGAGAGAGGATTATCCTTTTTTTGTAGAGAGACCTACAAGATGTAGTATTTCAACGACGGGTAGCATTTGGGTAGGCGTTTTAAGGTTTATGAGTGCGCTTATGAGGTTGATGTTATGTTGTCCTCATTCTTGTTGAGGCGATGTTGTGAAATTAGGTCCGTGTGTGATGCATTTGGCTAATAAATAATAGTAATAGTAATAGTAATAGTAATAATGGAGAAAATTGAAGTTAAAACAAATAGCAACAACGATGTGAGGATAAAGTGGATTACGGGGAAGTATTGTTTGGGGGAAAGAGGTTTAATTTGTCGATTTTAGCCTCACATGCATTCAATTGTTGGGCATGGTGAAGTTGTGGGTCGGTACGAAAACAAGGATTATGGCGGGCTCAATAGAGAGCGGGAGTAGTGGGGGGAATGACAAAAGTATTTGTGAGTGAGTGAGTGTGTGTGTGTGTATGTGTGTGTGTGTGAGTGTGTGTGTGTGTATGTGTGTGTGTGTGTATGTGTGTGTGTGTGTGTGTGTGTGTGTGTGTGTGTGTGTGTGTGTGTGTGTGTG